TTAAGAATAGCAGCTACTGGGTCTCCCTGGTGGCGCAAGTGGTGGTTAAGACACAACCTATGAAGCTGTCCGCAGCCTCTGTAGCACGAGTTCGACCCCCGGCCAGGGAGCAACCCACATAGCACAGCAGACCTCTCCTGTCTCGCCCGCTGCTCCCCTCAGCAGTGTATTTCTTCAGTCGGTCTGCCTGTTCTGCTCCCCACTCTGTCTCTGGTGGATCCTCTCACTCACCACACTTTTGGTCTGTACCCCAGTTCTTGTATGCATAAATAAATAAATCTTTAAAAAAAAAAAAGAATAGCAGCTACTTAAACTGAAAATGAGAGTTAAGTCCAAATTACTTTTGGTGAAAGACCAAAAATATTGTTAAGTTTCACGTGGCTCTGGATGTTTCACAGTAGGGCGTATCTGAAGGTGGAATCTACCCCAAAGGTAACTCACTTCTATTTTCAGGATGGGCGGGGAGAAAGGAATCCAACTCTTGGGGGAATTTAATGAGGAAAACCTCTCCGTGAATAGACATTTCTCACTGTGAATGTAGTAAGTGGTGTGCCAGGGAGATTTCTTTAAGGAGAATAACCTTGGGAAGCTCCATTCATGCTTCCTAGAGGAGGAAGAGGAGGAAAAACACCTCTCCCTGTGAATGGCTCCCTTGCATCTACTGGAAACAATGAATCTCTAACTGGAGGGAAATGTGAGGGAACAAGGAGAGGGCCAGTTGCTTCATTTTTGTTGGCGAGAGATGAATCAGGCACATATAAATTAGCCAGATCCTCTTGGTTGTCATTTCCACTGGACTCCATTTCTGAGGACATTGGCCTGTCTACTTTACCCAAGATGGCGTATTGAAACTTCTGAGCTTTAAGATATTCTGCCAGAATTAAAATAAAACCTGTGCTGCCTTTGTGGGAAGATGAGCTGGACTGGAGTATGGCTGGCCTGAAGGATGGAACATATATATATATACATATATATAACATCTCCAGAAAGCTCCTGATATGATCTGAAGCCTTCCCAGGCTCAAAATCTTTTTTTTTTTTTTAAAGATTTTATTTATTTATTTATTTATTTATTTATACAAGCACTGGGTACAGTCAGAAGCGCAGGAGGGTGAGAGAATTCACCAGAGCCAGAGCCGGGAGCAGAGCAGGCAGAAGGACTGAAGGACACTGCTGAGGGGAGCAGCGGGCGGCAGGAGAGGTCTGCGCGCCATGTGGGACCCTCCTCTGGTGGCCGGGGAGCAGCCGGGGATCGAACCGGTGCTGCAGAGGCTGCGGGCAGCTTCGCAACCCAGCGCTCAACTGCTGCGCCACCGAGGAGGCCCCAGGCTCAAAATCTTGAGTAGGTCCCTCTGTGGAAAGGATAAAACCATAAATCCCTTGCGGGACATACAAATCCCTTCGTGATCTGGTCTCTGCTTAAGTCTCCAACCTCATTTCTCACCATTTCCGTCCTCAATATTATACAATAATCTACCTCCCTTAGATTATAAAGAATTGGTAAAAACAATTCTATAAAGTAAAAGTCCTATAGAACTAGAGGGAAAAAAGAAGAGGGAAGATCAAAATATAAAGATAATAAAAAATTTGAAGTGAGAAGGAAAATAAACAGCAAAGAAGGAAAAAGTGAACCCTTTTAAATGATCAGATTATAGGCCATTCTTCTGGGTGTGTGGGGCTCTAGCCAAGAGACAACTGAACTGGTGGCTTCTGCTGCAAACACTGAAAGATCTAGTAGTTAGACTAAGGAAAGGAGGATCACAGTCAGAATCACCTTCCTCCTCCCCACCAAGAGAGAAGCAGACCTGGCTATGCAGCATGCAATCCATCACTCACACTCCCAAGTATTCATACCTGACAACCATACGCGCCCTACACTGACTAAAACATTCTGTTTTCTAGGGTCTCTCCTCTCCTCTCCCCTTCTCTCCCCTTCCCTCCCCTCCTTTTCTTCTCTCTCTCTCTCTGTCTGTCTGTCTCTCTCTCTCCAGGTTTTTTCCATGAGCCTCTGTTGGCCTCTGGAATATGCAGATTTTTAAAAATATTTGTTTATGCATACAAGAACTGGGGCATAGGCCAGAGATGCGGGGGTGAGAGGATTCACCAGAGACAGAGTGGGGAGAAGAATAGGCAGATTGACTGAAATACAGTGCTGAGGGGAGCAGCTGGAGAGACTGGAGAGGTCTGCTGCACCATGTGGGTAGCTCCCTGGCCAGGGATTAAACTCGTGCTGCAGAGGCTGCGGATAGCTTCATAGTGCTGTGCTTAACCCCTTACGCCACCAGGGAGGCCCTTGAATATGCAGATTTTTAAAGTTCAGACAAGTCAATAAATTCTGGATTATATAACAACACCCATGATCATTCATCATGGAACCCACCATCAGCCCACACCAGCACAGGGGCTGGACATTTCCCGAGACACACTCCATACACAACATCTCAGTGGAAACCATCAGCCTGGAGAGTTCTATAAGTTCTTGTATTAACTAAATTCTGCCTACTCAGTTCTCTCCCTCCTCTGTTAACATGTCCCTCCTGTCTACCATTCCACCTGCTGTGTAAGGAATCTGTTAGCAACAGCTCTTATCCTCTACACAAATCTGCAGCTCCCAATACCTCTGACCATGTGTTCATCCTTATTTAGATTAGTTTGTTTCCACTGTCAAGAGCGAGAGAAAGGGATGGGCGCTTCCCTAGCTCTCCCAGTGCTGCTTTTACTCCACTGCCATACCTCCTCTCCCATGGAATAACTCTTTTCTTTTGGAGTTTGTGGCTCCCGCTCATCTCTTCCCTATCTAGACATTTAGCTGATACACTTCAAGAGCCTGAAGCCTGGCTTCCAGCTTACTTGCCAACATTCTTCAGGATTCCCCCTCAGTATTTCTGATATTTGTTTCAAATGGTCTCACAATTTATGTCTCCTCCCTCCATGATTCTTTCTTCAATCCCTTCCATCCATCCAACACAAAGAGTCTTAAAATTCCTTCGTCTCACCCAAAAATCTGAAATCCTCCACTCACAGGTCATCTTTCCACCTCACCCATTTTATCATTCTAGTCCTACTTTGTGTTCCCATGGTGACATCTATTCTTAAACTGTCCTAACCCAATGTTCACGAACATCAGTTCTCTTATGACTTCACTTGTCCCTCTTCCTCTTTGAAAACGAAGGCTTATGCCTTCAACAATGCACTGTAATTCTAGATTCTTACCATCTTGACAGCTAGCCAAGTGTGCCTTGTCAGTCTCCTAGGTTAAATCTCCTCACATTTGCTTTCTCTAGTCCTATTTCTAGTACTTAACATTTGCAGAAAAGCCCAAAGAGTTTTTCCCCTACAAAGACAGGCCTTCAAACCTCAAGTAGCCATTAGTGGCACTACTTGGAAATTTTTTGTTTTCTTCTTATAGTCAACTCTCCTATAATCTAAAAATAATTGCAATAGGCTCAGCATATATCCATTTTTATATCCCTCCCCTTAACTAGCACCTTAAAAATCCCTCCCCTTAACAGCTACTATCACTGATTTAATTCTCACTCTATAATCTCTCCTTAACAGAGCTGCTCAGTTTTATTCCTACCACAATGACGGCATTTATAGAGACTTACCAATTACATTCCTTGTCTTTTTATGTTCTCAAACCCTTTGACTCCAATAAATTCCTGGTCTGACTTCAGAGTCTGCTGACAAGTTGGATCTGACTGGTCGACCCATGCCCGGCTCAGGCATGTTTCTCAGGCAGCAGGGGTGTGTTATGTGCCATAACCCCAGGCAGGCACTCACGCAGCAGATGACTGTCCCTCCAGCTAGGCCCCACCAGCCAGCTATTCCAACTCTCACCAGTTAATCAACAATGCACAGAGATTTTACATTCCTAATCCTGACATGATTATTTGTCTTTCAGTTTACAAGAAACACCCCCTTTCTCTTCTTCTGTTATAGAGAGATCCTCCAGGGTGTTGCTCTAAAATCAGTTCCCGGTTTGGTAGTATCTTTGTTCTTCAGTACTCAATTCTCTTTGACAACTCTTTTCACTTATATCTCCCTACAAAGTGCCTTAGAAGTGATCGTATCTGTACTGCAACATTTGCTATTTATATTTCAACATTGCTTAAAATTACTTCTCATGCATTTTCACGCCCTAAGTATTAGCAAAGGCTTTGGAAATCCCTTCTCAAAAGGGAATTCAATCATTTGGATGGTCAATGGACTGTCACTGAGTATCTACCATTTTCTAGATGCAATGGGAACTGCTGACTGTACAAAGCTGAGTAAGACATGATGTGCCTTCAGAGATGAACTGCACACTGAATGGCCATTTAAAGGATGATTGTGACACTCCCACAGTCAGAGCAATGAAACTTTGGCTTTGTTAATGCTGAGTCTGGGATGGAAATTTGAAGGCTGGATGGAATTCTGCCCTGTGCTTGCAAACATTTAGAGAACTGCTCACTCAGCCTTCTGGGGAAAACATGCCTGTAGCCTACTGTCCTCCATCGGCTCTGATCTTGTCAACACAGGGATCATTAAGATCCTAACTAAAACTCAGTTCTCCTTTGTTCTCTGAACATGAACAGCAAGACGCAGAATAATCACATAACAAATGATGAAAGTGTGGGGATGACTTCCGTGTCTACAACATTTTATCTTTCCAGAGAGCTCACATGGTATCCATGTGACTCACACAACACATCTTCGATTTGAAATTGAACCAGACATTTCATATCCACTGTGTGGAGTGTCAGCAGAGGATTTTATCTCCACTATGTGGAGTATCAGCAGAGGATTGGTTCCAGATCATTATGCTCGCCCCTCCTCCCCCACAAAAAAAAACCAGATACACAAATCCACCAATGCGCAAGCCCCTTATGTAAAGTGGCATAGTTTTCTCATGTAACCTATGCAAATCCTCACATAGGCTCTAATACCATGTAAATGCTATATGACTAGTTGTTATGCTGTAATTGTTTAGGGAGTTATAATAAGAAAAAAAAAAGTCTGGTGCTCGCTTCAGCAGCACCTATACTAAAATTAGAGCCACCCAGAGAAGATTAGCAAGACCCCTGGACAAGGGAGACACACAAACTCATGCAGCGTTCCATATTTTTCCATGTGCACACATGGGGGTGTCACGACATAGCCCCCATATAACATAGCTACGCAAATGACAGACAAGTTTGAGAAGAAAAAAAGTCTGTACATGTTTAGTACAGACATGAGACACAACCACCATGGGCCTAACTACATTCACATACTTACGACTTGCATTTGATTGAATCTATGGATGTGGAACCTCGAGAGAGTTGAAGAGACAGAATCTGTGTGTGTGTGTGTGTGTGTATACACGTGCATGCACACCAGAAGGCAAGAAACAATCATTTAAAATTCCTAATGGGCCTCCCCGGTGGCGCAGCAGTTGAGTGCTGGGTTGTGAAGCTGCCCGCAGCCTCTGCAGAGCCGGTTCAATCCCCGGCTGCTCCCCGGCCACCAGAGGAGGGTCCCACATGGCGCACAGACCTCTCCTGCCGCCCGCTGCTCCCCTCAGCAGTGTACTTCGGTCCTTCTGCCTGCTCTGCTCCCCACTCTGGCCCTGGTGAATTCTCTCACCCTCCCGTGCTTCTGACTGTACCCAGCGTTCATATAAATAAAATAAATAAATAAATAAAAATCTAAAAAAAAAAAAATAAAATTCCTAAGATGACATCTGATAACAGGTGCTTTTGTATCATTTACATTTTTTTGTGCCATAGTCCGTAGCAGACTTCCTGGAATCACACCGACTCTCAGGCTCAGAGCAGAGCAGGAATCCCCACCGGATGGAGCCAGCCTGCAACTGAAATTCCCCTACTTGTGACAAATAAGAGGGAAAAAAACAGGTCCCTGTCATGTGGGCCATGTGACTGGCCTATCTAGAGTTTCTCGTGACTTGAGTGGATTGTGGAGAACTGTCATTAGCACAGACAAAATGCACAGGACAGATGACCAAAATCTTAGACCTCTGTGTACTCCGAAAGGACTAAATTTAAATGTTTTTATAATTGCATGTTGACTTTATGTAGTAAAACTTTTTTCATTTTCCCCTGTGTGTTCGTGTCAATGGTGGCCTGAGTTGGCCCTCTTTTGGAACACAGTGCTCACCCACCGTCACCTGGGGCTGTCCTTGGGGTGCTCACTCTTCACCCTCTTCCCTCCATTCTATCTCTGCAAGATCAACCACTGATCAAATAATCAGCCTTACTACTCCCAAACACTGCAGTGCCTCCCACTCCTGTATGTTGGCAACCAGCCTTGTGGGCAACCTGGAGAGTGACCCCACGTGATGTTGGGGTCAGCCCTGCACTCATTCTCTACTTCCTGAGAACTCTGGGGTAAAAACAAAACAAAAAACCCAATGAAACTAGTAAGAATTGTGTGCTTCTTCTCTAACTTCAACTGAAATTGTTATAAAGTACATTTAAAAAATTAATTTTAAACTGAAACTAAGGGGGCCTCGGTGAGTTCAGTGATACATCATTGCAGTGATACATCATTTGAACAGAAAATTATCTATGCCATTGTCCCTCCCCCATAAAGCACACTCCAGGGAATGCCTGGGTAACAGCCTCTGGAAAGGACTGGAATGATTTTGGGCACCAACAAACCCATAACTTTATAATTTTACAGTTATTCCCGTATCTGCTGTGCCAGGCGATATGTAAAAGTTAACCTCAAATGTGGGGGTCCCAAGTCCTACAAAATTTATGTTCTAGGCTTTCAGGGTTAGCTGGAATGGGAGCGGGAGAGACCTGACTCTACAGGCCTCCTTGGGGTTGAGAGGGGCAGGAGGATGGGGGCGGGCCCTGTGACTTGGTGGTTCTAGCTCAGCCCTTGGTAAGAAAGTCATTGTGTTTTGGGGACTGTTTTGGATCTGTTGGGCAAGTGAGTGTGTCTGGACTCTGGGTTCTGGGGAAACGGGGTCTGTGAGTTCCTTGTTGAGGTGCAAGGAAGAAGACCCCCACTCCTTTCCTCTCTCTCAGTCTAGAGGGTTGTGTTCAGACGGGGCAAATCCAGTAGTCTTCCAAAAGAAGCCCCAGACAGGGCCTCCCCTGGTGGCGCAGCGGTTGAGCGCTGGGTTGCAAAGCTGCCCGCAGCCTCTGCAGCGCCGGTTCGATCCCCGGCTGCTCCCCGGCCACTGGAGGAGGGTCCCACATGGTGCGCAGACCTCTCCTGCCGCCCGCTGCTCCCCTCAGCAGTGTCCTTCGGTCCCTCTGCCTGCTCTGCTCCCCGCTCTGGCTCTGGTGAATTCTCTCACCCTCCCGCGCTTCTGACTGTACCCAGTGCTTGTATAAACAAAACAAACAAACAAACAAATAAATAAATAAATTGCCTCTATTAAAAAAAAAACATTAAAATAAAAAAAAATAAAAAAGACAAGAGATAACATGTGTTGGCAAAAACGTGAACTAAGGGAATACTTATGTACTGTTGATGGGAATATAAACCGGTGCAGCCTCAATGGAAGACCATAGGGAAGTTCCTCAAAAAATGAAAAACACAACTACCATATGACCCAACAATTCCACTTCTAGGTATTTATCTAAAGAAAACAGAAGCACTAACTTGAAAAGATATATGTACTCCTATGTGTTCCATTGCAGCATTATTTACAACGGCCAAGATATAGAAAAATTCTAAGTATTCATGGACAAATGAATGGGTAAAGAAGTTATGATATTCATACATACACACACACACACACACACACACAGAGAGAAAACTGAAATATTATTCAGCCATAAAAAAGGACATTTGCCATTTGCAATACGAATAAACCTTGAGGGAATAATGTTACGTGAAATGAGTCAGACAAAAACAACTGCCATTTGATTTCACTTATGCATGGAATTTTAAAGAAACCTCATAGATGCAGAGAACAGTTTGGTGGTTGCTAGCAACAGGAGGTGGGAGGATAGGAAAAATGAATGAAGGGGGTAAAAAGGGATAAAGACCCAGTTATAAAATAAGACATGGTGATGTAATTTACAATTCCATGACTATCATTGATAATAATGCAGTGCATATTTAAAAGTTAACTAAAGGATTTAAAAGTTCTCATCACAAGGAAAAAATTTTATAACTATCTGTAGTGATGGATGCTAACTAGACTTATTGTGATCATGTTACAATACATACAAATGTTGACTCCTATGTTGTACACCTGAAACATAGTATTAGATGTCAATTATTCCTCAACGCAAAATTTTAAGTTAAAAAATGAAGTTGTACAATTGAAAAAAGAGAGAGAGGAGACAATCCCCTATGGGCTGCAGAGGGCAAGGGAGGCCCTTCAGGGCTAAGAATCCTGTTCTGGCTCGGCCCTTCATCTCCCTCCCAACCTCCTGGAAGTGGAGTCTCATTGCATTGCTCCTGCCAGCACTCAGTCTCCCTGCCAGGGTGCAGTACAGCTGGCATGCTGCATACCTGACCTCAGTGCCAAGAGCCCTCCCATCCAGTACTGATAAGCATCATGGGTTGTTATCTGCGGAACAGACTTTGGGTTGGAGATTTGCACACAAGTGTGGGAATGACACCTGTGAGGGAGAGAGGATGATTCAGACACAGTTGTGCAGTTGTCACAGAGGCTTTGGTCTGAAGATGGAGTAAAGTCCAGATGACCTGCCTTGAGTCCATGTGGAAATGGAGAATACAAGTCAACCAGATCACTTACATAGGAAAAGCCCCTGATAGAGGGCTGCTTCTGGGATGGTTGAAATCTATGCTTCACTAGATTCCCAAAGGCTACTTTAGCCCTATTCTGCCTCCTGGTATAAGTCATTTTTAAAGCCTGGAAGATTCTTAAGGGATCCCAGGAGAACAGCTGAGAAATGTTTTGCAAAATACTGAACAAAGCCAGTAGCAGTGTCTGCCAATCTTTTTGTATCTTTAGGATATGGATATTTATCTTCTCTCTCCAAATAACTTGAGTTTACCAGGCAACTTAATTAGGTCCAATGTGGTTCTCTGCTACCTGTTTACCCCTAGCATCACTGCCACATCTTAATTTTCCATCTCATTTGGGAGAAGGGAAAATGGGTGGTGACTGCGGACAGGCTGTGTGAGAAGAGAATGGGAGAGAGGTCCTCTCCTGACCAACCTTTCTCCATGCTCAGTGCGGAGCACAGTCTATAGGGGCTGCACACCCCAGCCAAGAAACTCACCAGTACAAGTGCTAGCGCCCCACTACCCCACCAACCTCCATGATGCTGAATGGGATAGAGACCAACTTGTAATTATCTCCCAAACTAACCTCACAGAGTCCAGGCTGATGCAACAACCCACAGCCTGTGACACAGTTAGCCAGCCCCTGGCTATAGTGTTCAAAGTGTGACAAGGGTGAAATATTGCCCCATTGGTTTGAAAGGGTCTTTACCATCAACAAAGAACCATTATGACAACAGGAAGGCGCCAAAAGCCAGGCATGATATAGATAGGAACAATATCTCTGAGAGAGAGAGAGAGAGAGAGAGAGAGAGAGAGAGAGAGAGAGAGAGAGATGGGGGGCGAGAGAGAGAGAGAGAAATCCTGCAGTGTTCCATGAATTCTCTAAGCAAAACAGGCTGGGGGCAATTTCAGCTCCACCCGCTTCTGGCACTCAGGAGGGCAGGGGCAGCTCTTGTGGGTGGAGGCTGCCTGCTGGGCTGGGTCAGGGTAGGGCCTGGGCCTCCTCACCCTGTGGCCTCTGTAGGTGCTGGGGGAAGAAGCATGTGGAGCCAGAGATCCACAGGCGCCTTATGGGTCATTTTTGTTTTCTAAGCCTACTGCTTTTTCTTCACTTTTCATTCAGCTGTGTCAATCAAACCTTTAAATAATCAAATAAAAAATGTTTCTTGCAAACCCACTAACACCAAGACTGAAAAATCCTGGTTCTCTTCCCACGTTGCTTCTTCCTCTATCCAGAGGTCCTCCTTCCTGCAAGCCCCAGCCTGAGGTCTGTCTCTCCCAAAGTCTTTCCTGACACCTCTGTGGCTGCAGTCTTTCCGGCTCTCTGGTCTCCTGCATTACACCCCGACCCTTGAGCCCAACTCAAGATCCCTCATCCTATTCCCTTCTCACCACCCTAGTGCAGATT